TCCCTGTCACATTATGGATTATTTACTTCCCCTGATCTTGTGTTGTTATTATATGATCGGTTCTAATTTACATTGGCTTATTCTAACCTTCAGGTGTTATGATCTAATGGAGTCTAAAAGTGGGAAAAAGAAGTCTAGCAGTAGCAAATCCTTGTTCTACGAAGCTCCCCTCAGTAACAAAGAACTACGAAGCTTGTATTTATGCTACAGGTGTATTGCTCAAAATTCATATTTCATATTTGAAATGCTGAAGGTGATTGGTGATGTCATTGACACTTTTTTGCCTCTTTGTATTGTTCCTTTCCCAAATTGGTTTTTATACTTTTGTTTGCTTTGTGCTATTCGGAGGCACACTAAGAAGATAAAGTTCATTTGTTCATCATGGAAGTCATTTGAGCCCCCACTAGATCTTACCCTGATATTCGTGCAGAGCAGCACTAAGATAACATCAAAACTAGAGATAAAAGATTGGACTGCTAAGAACCTGTTAAAGCAATAGGCAAGGAACATGAAAATAAGCAAGGAACTTGTTAAGATCACACAGATCTTTCTATTGTCTCGCTTACCCCTATACATTAAGATGACATGTTCCTCTTACTAAAAGTTTGGGAGTATTTCCAAAGATCTTCATGTCATGAGTTGTAATATTCAGCTAGTTCCATTTTGCTTTGGATTCTTGTATTTACTGATTCTGACATATGTGATCGTGATTTTGTTCTCATTGCAGGCTAATAAAACAAAGTACATGGTGAAGATGATGATACTAAGATTGAGATGATGATCACTCAGGAAAATGAAGATTAAGAGTCAAAGAGCTGAAGGAATTATAGGACAATACTAAATAATATGATAGATATATCTAATAAATTAAAATAATAGATCAAATTATATATTAACTGTAATACTTTTATATGTGCTTTTTGTTGCTTTTTGTTGCACTGTATATGTTGTTTTTTGTTGCATCGTGTTGCTAATTGTTGCATCATGTTATTTTTTGTTGCACTGTGTTTCTTACTATTACTTGTATTTAAATTAGAATTTTGTTGTTTATTTCGATTTCTGTTTATTTTTGTACATTCTTAAAATAGAAATATCTAGATAGATTTAGATACAAACACTGAAAATGTTAAATTGTGTTTATGAATTTGAAAATAAAAACAAGAAACATAAAGAAACAATAAAAAACAAAAAAATTAGAAATGGCAACAAAAAGAAACACAAAGAAACCATATGCAACAAAAAGTAAAAATAAAATGGTAATAATATTAACAATTCAAAATTTATGCACTTTAAGAAACATTACATTTAAAAACTATTTTTTTTATTTTACATTTTTATAACTTTAAGTCTATTTTTTTATAACTATTTTATACTTTTTCTACTCCCTCTGTATTTTAAAGTTCTCTACATTAGATTTGGGCACAACATTTAACGGTGAAATTATAAGGGTAATGAATAGTGTAGAAAAAGTAGAAAGAAGGTGGAAAAGTATGAAAAAGAAGATAAAAAGTAGAAAACAGTAAGGATAATTGAGCATTTTAAAGGAAAAAACTTACCAAAAGGGGAAAGTGTAGCAAATTTTTAAATACATTCAAAAAAGGAAAATGTAGCAAACTTTAAAATTCTGAGGGAGTATGAAATATTTAAAAAATTAAAAACTTTTACCTTTTTACTATTTTCCCTCATTTTGAATATTTTAAATATTTTGTACATTTATTTTCCCTTTTTTTATTTTTATTTTTTCCAGTTTTGAGCTTATTTCTTCCCTATTTTCTAATTTTCCCTATTTTGCTTTTTATGATTTAATTTTATATTATTAGGCTTTTATTACTTATGTAATTAATTTTGTTTTAAACCTCAGTAGATTTTTGCATATTTATTTGTCTATTAAAAAAGTTGAATACCAAAGGCAACTTTTATGAATTTATCAATAAGGAGCGAAACTACCTTGTATGGAACTACTAGCTGGAGATGTACATTTGACTGGATAGCTGGAGACGCGCATTTGAGTGGTACCACTGGACAAATTTGACTTGCGCTTATTAAGAGCAGAGATTACACTAAGAGTCTATTTGTGAAATAAAAGGCGTGACTAGTCTATTTTTGAAAAAACGTTTGAAAAGGAAAAAACGTGATATTTTTCTAACTTTAAGGCTATTTGTGAAGTTTTCCCAATGATTTATCATCCTCCTAGCTCCTTCAGGCCCGCAATCTTATAACAGCGGCCCAATAGACAGTATGCGTCATCAGCATTATCCGCGCTCAGCTTCACGGCCCGTTTCGGTGTCCTAATAAAAAGACTATAAATGCTGGCCAGTTTCGGCAGTCTAGAGATGGCAATTTCGGCCGACGAGTTGGATACCCGCACCGAACCGATTTGGTCAAACTGGGGAAAACCGGTTTGACTGGGGAATGGGTATGGGGCGGGGAATACCCATGCGCTATTTTTAGATATATAGGGTTTTTAGAAACTCCCTTTGTCCCAGGATGGTTCGCCAAATTGACTTTTCTTGGTCAACGACAATCAACTTTGACCAATGATATTCTTTAATACGAAAATATTTTGAATATGAAAATTATATCAAAATATTCCTTATTCAAAATATTTTCATAAAAGTATTTTTTTTTTAAATCATACTCCCTCCGTCCTTTTTTATTTAGCCAAACACTATTTTTCAAGTCAATGTTGTTCAACTTTGATCAATTATATATTTATACACGGTAATATTGATAATATGAAAATTATTTGAAAATGTTCTTTGATGAAAATACTATCATAAAAGTATAAATTTATTAACTTTTACATAAATATATTAATTTAAATAATAGATCAAAGTTTATTATCTTTGACTGGAAAAGTCAAAGTTGACTAAATAAAAAGGGACGGAGGTAGTATAAAATATAAAAATCATTATCCAATGTTTGTCATCATTGACAGAGCCGGCTATAGGGTCAGTTGCCCCAGGCAGCTGCCTTGGGCCTCAAACTCCTAATAGGGCCTCAAAAAATTAAAAAGATATTAGCAGTATGAATGCTAATATTGGAAACGACTCCAGCATATCGCAATGCCTTATGCCCTCATCGCCTCACAAACTCAAACAACCATTCCGACAATTCTGCCCACCGCTCGCGCCTTCTAATATCTACGACTCCTCTGGGGCATTGACACAGTGACGCCACCCAGGAAATGCAAAATTTCCGTCCGCCAACCGCCTACTGTTTTTCACCATTTTCATTTTGACTCTATTTTTTATTTGTCTCATTACTATGTGCTTACTTTGGGTGTTCGTAATTTCGTATTGATTGCTTTCCTTTATAGCCTGATACATTTCAAGTTTTATTTAAAATTTTTTTTTTATGTTTTCAATTGCTTCTGCTTGTCTAAAAATATATAAATAAAGGAGTGAAGCGGAGAAGCTTTTTGCTTATGCTGATTTTGAAAAGGTCCTTTTTATTTACTCCATATGTGTTTCCCTAGGCAGCTAGGCTAGTGTGAAGGAATACTGGAATAAAGGTTTGACATTCTAATTAAGCAAATATCATTAGAGTACATGTGTAATATCTAATTAGAGTACATGTGCTTTACTTCAACTTAAGTTCTCACATCTCACATCTCAATTAATTGATTCATGATCAATAATAACACGACTGTATTTGAAATTGTGTAGGTTATGTGCTGATATTAACTTGGCTACGAAAGGAAGGAGAGGTTTAGTGTTTATTTTAACAAAATATACTCTATTTGTTGATTCACGTGCCCACTATATTTGCTCTATAGTTTCAAAGCTTCAGTGTATTTTTTGTAGCAACATATAATTTCCTGTGCTCCTTTACTAAAGGTTGGTTTGCAACCACTTTAAAAAAAGCACTTCTCAGCTTTTGGCTTTAAAAAAGCACTTCTTTTACCGAACACTACAACTTTTATTTTTCTCGGCTTTCGTGTCAAAAGTGCTTTTACTTTTTCTATTACACAAAAAGCACTTATTTTACCAAACACTATCAACTTTTACTTTTCAAAATCACTTTTTTCTCAAACACTATCAACTTTTATTTAATCACTTCTCCTCATTTCATTAAAAAAACAATTTTTTTAAAGTAGAAACTGTTGCAAACAGACCCTAACTGCAGAAACCTGCTCTTTCCTTTTAAAGTTTGGTGCAACTTTTTTATTAACACTGGAACAGAGTTCGAGCCATGTATTGGTTGTTTATCCGTTATCAGCTTAACGGCTTAATAATAAAAATAAAATGAAAAGAGATCCCTAACTTCCCACCTGAAATCTCAGTCTACAACAGAAATTGTTGTTAACTTGATATTCATGTGACGATACTTTCTTGCCGGAAATGTTCTAGCAGTTGTAGTGTATAAACAGTCTCATTAGAGCTGGTGTTCTTTCTGATGCAAATGGTATATTTTTCCTTCTCACTTGTGCCTTTTGCTTAGTATCACTTCAGCAATGAAGTAAATTTCCTGCTATCTTCCAAAGAACGAATTGCCTCCATGTTTGTTTATAAAGTTTAGATAAGTTGCCCTAATAGGAGTCAAACAATGTGAAATTCTAAAATATGCATGGGTACTCTGTTCATCCAAATAGGAGGAGCTACTTCGACATTTGAAGAATTACCATTTATGACAGTAATACTGCCATTATAATCCCTTATAATCTAACAGCAAAATGAATGAGGGGCTGATTTTCCCGCTCGGAAGTGTCACTGTCAGCAGCAGGGATTAAATTTTAATTAGATGAGTGCTTGGTTAGGTTTTAAACTTACAGCTTGCAGTGTTTCGAGTAAAGAACGGATTGCAATAATTTAGATGTGTGGTTGTAGGTTTTTGGGTTACTGTTCGGATTTCCCATAGATTTTCCCATATCTTCAATCAGTTTTCATTGGTCCATTTTGGGGGTGAGCTGACAAACGGATTTCTCCCAGATTTCCTACTCATCTTACTTCATTTTCATTGGACGAGTACAATTCTAAGTTTGAAATTCAAAAAATGGTGAACAGTTTCCCCCCATCCCATTTACGATTAGCATTGGTCTGGACATGGTTCTCTGGCTATAAATAGAGTACATTGAGGGTTTCAATCTTCACACCTCATATCCAACAAATTACACACAGGCAAAGGCATTCATTCCTAAACATGGTAGGCATGTGGTCCCTATTTCGGGAGATTGACCAGAGCAAGACTACATGGGCGATAAAAGCTAGGGCAATAAGGGTGTATCGTGAACCAGCCCATGATTGCTTTCCAGAATCGCTGGAGGTTGTTTTCCATGACGAAGAGGTGTGCACGTTTATATTTCATTCTTTTGATCTAATACTTTTGCATTTAAGCATATATGTTGACATTTTGACAATAAATATCAGGGATCCAGGATGCATGCGCACATCCCTGACCAGTTCATCAACAAATTCATTGGCATATTCAAAGAGGGGCGGGTTTTTGCAGTGAAAAATTTTATGGTTGAGGAGAACTACATGTTCTTTAAAACGTCAACAAGTGCCTATAGACTCTGTTTTTTTAACAAAAGTGCTGCCTTTGAGATCAGGGGAGTCCCATTTCCCATAAGAACTTTCTCATTGGTGTCTTTTGCTTCATTGCAAGCTCAAGACAGCTTAGATGAAAAATATGGAATTGGTGCGAATTTGATTTACCTTTGCAAAAATAACAAAGTGAATATGACTAAAATAGACCCACTAATATCCTTATTCTATCCAGACCTAATAGGCCAGGTTGTTCATGATAAAGACCCAAAAACAATTTTGAAGAATGACAGGCCCCGAAAGCTTATGGAGATGGTTTTAGGAGACCCCGAGTGAGTTTTACATTTGTTCGTTAAACGCTTTAGATGGGTGTTTTTTAAGTGCCTTTGAAATTCAAATAAAAAAAAATGTTATTGTATAGGGGGAATGTTATTGCATGTACTCTTTGGGGACCGATGGTTGAGATGCTTATGACTTACAAGCTCACAACATCAGAACCAATTGTAATGCTACTCCAGTGTTGCAAAGCTAGAAAGTACCAAGGTTATCTTAACACCAATTCCTTTTAAGTTTAGTTTTTGCTTAAATATGTAACCTAAGATGTGATTTGATATAGGCCATGTTCATGTTTCCAACATGTTCAACACCACCAAGGTTATTTTAAACGGGAGTGAGGAAGAATTTGTGGAATTCAAGTCAAGGTATATGGTTTTTGAAAATCTATTATAATAATTGCTACCACAAGCAAATAAAATATGCACGTAACTTATAGTACAAAAAATTATATCAGGATGGCTGAAAGGTCCAATAAGGGACTTCGATTTTCAATAACAACAGACAACTCAGACAATGGTGACATAGCAACTGGCCAGCTAGATTTGATCACTATTGAGGCTCTTACAAAACTTCAGGAGGCAAGTGTATTTTAATTTTAATTTCTAAGAGGTAAAAAATTAAAATTGACTAGATCTGTTGATGAAAAACAGGATGGGAAGTATTGGGTTTGCGGAGAAATTGTGGCTATAGACAGCCACAAAGATTGGTCCTACATTTCTTGCATAGGTTGTAACAGGAAGGTTTCACCTAATGGAGATAGCTTTTGCTGTGTCTCTTGCAATTCAAATGATGCGGTTCTTAGGTTTGTAATCTGCACATAAATCTAGGTTTTGAAACCGACCACATGATTGATAAAGAAGATATCTTTAATGTAATTAATGTAATCAGGTATAAAGTGAACGTCCGTGTTGTTGATGGCACAACACATGCCTCTTTCCTGCTTTGGGATAGGGAGGTCTCATGCTTGCTGGGGAAATCTGCCGCATCCCTTAAGGAACAAGTATCTAGGGTCTGTTTTCATCCTAAGTAATATTTTATCTAATTTCTTCATATATGATGAACTAATGTATATATACTTGCAGAGGAACTATGGACCACATTACTTCCCATCTGAGATCAACTCCCTCATTGATATAAAGGCTTTGTTTAAAGTGCAATTTAAAAGAGAAAGCAGGAGCTTTAAAGGAAATCAGACTTTCAGCGTTATAAAGATGAACACAGATGCCAAAGTGTTGGCACTGTACTCATCTAAGATAAATGCTATTGAGGTATAGATATATTTCATTTATCATTTTGTATTAGTATTTTCTTCGCCAGATTTTTTACATATTATTGTTTCAGGTGGAAGATGATGGGGAAGATGAGTTCACACGATTGGCTAAAGAGTTTTCAGGGGCTGAGAGCATGGTATTTTCTCAAAATATTTGGTTAAAGCCTAGGTAGGGTTCTTGACACTCAGGGAATCATATGTTTTTGAAATTTCAGGCTGGATCTTCACAGCAATCTGTTTCTAGCCCACTACTGACCAAGGAGAAAAGGCATGCTCTGGGAGTTGACACTGAGAAAATCAAGCGTGACCTGTTTGGAGAGTTTGAAGCTTCAACGTCTACCAAAAAGCCTAGGGGGGTGAAAAGGGAATGAAGTTGATGCATTAACTATGTTAATGCATATCAGTGTCAATCTATGTTTTTATGTTATGTATGTTTAATAAGCCTATTTTTGGGTACCTATTTCATGTCTACTATAGACATTATTTGTGTTGCGGGTGGCTGTGTCCATCTATGTATTAATCTTATGTGTGTACCAATAAGGCCAACTTTGGATACTTATTCCATGACCGTTTAGCAGCTTAGGGTTTGGTTTTGCCAATAGTTTGGCTGTTTGAAATGTTTTGGGCTTAGGACTCGGCCATAAAGGGAGTTCCTATGATGTGTACTAATGAAGCATTTCTATAAAAAATATTATATTAAGGTATACCTAGGGACCACTACATGTTTTTGCAGTGGAATTTTTTTTCATTGAACGAGGAATGGTGTGGTTGAGTTTGGTCAATGTGATCAGATATAAATGCATAATTATCCTATCATTCATAGTGGAGCAAGCTCCTTGGTGTTCAATTGAGTTGGATTCTAAGATTATGTTCCCATTCATGGACTGGATGGGAGCAAGGTCCTTGGTGTGTAATAAAAGAATATGGACTTTGCCTAATATCTAATTTTGTTTTTCAAAACCAATCTAAGGACTGAGACTAGGGATTTAGTTTTAAAAAAATATGTAGTCTTCTTTGTTTTTGGAGGATATTCAAGCAAAGCGGGGATGTGAGTTGAGCGACATACCTGTTTTCTCTTCCGGAGGCTGATGTGTTCCCTAAATCTACCCTAATTCTATTTATTACATTTACAGACCCATGATAAAACAAAACTTTAAAATAAATAAAACCCTGGGCAGAGTCATTCTTCGTGTTCCTCAATTATGGATCCTGAGGCCATTCCCTGCAAGTCCAAGTTTCTATCCGGCTCAGAAATGAACAATAATTCCAAGTCTAAATTAAGAAAATAATTTGTAGTGAGTCCTTGGGTTTTAATTTTTTAAGTGTAATTCATAACAAAAGAAGTGGAAGGAAAAACAGTTTGATCACATAATATACCATTAATGCCCCCCTGATTGGCTGGCATATCCATGACAGTTAGTTTCACCCAGGCAGATCTTTTAATTCAATTACCTATGATAATTTGCCAGTCCCAGAAATGAATAATAATTCCAAGGCTAAATAAATAAATTGATTTGTAGTGAGTCCATGGGTTTTATTTTTTTAAGTGTAATTCATAGCAAAAGAAGTGGAAGGAAAAATAGTTTGATCACTTAATGTACCATTAATGCCCCCCCTGATTGGCTGGCATATCCATGGCAGTTAGTTTCACCCAGGCAGATCTTTTAATTCAAATACCTATGATAATTTGCCAGCCTCAGAAATGAACAATAATTCCAAGTCTAAATGAAGAAAATAATTTGTAGTGGGTCCTTGGGTTTTAATTTTTTAAGTGTAATTCATAGCAAAAGAAGTGGAAGGAAAAACAGTTTGATCACATAATATACCATTAATGACCCCCCCCCCCCCCCCCCCCCGATTGGCTGGCATATCCATGGCAGTTAGTTTCACCCAGGCAGATCTTTTAATTCAATTACCTATGATAATTTGGCAGCCCCAGAAATGAACAATAATTCCAAGTCTAAATGAAGAAATTAATTTGTAGTGAGTCCATGGGTTTTAATTTTTTAAGTGTAATTCATAGCAAAAGAAGTGGAAGGAAAAATAGTTTGATCACATAATATACCATTAATGCCCCCCCCCCCAGGCAGATCTTTTAATTCAAATACCTATGATAATTTGCCAGCCTCAGAAATGAACAATAATTCCAAGGCTAAATGAAGAAAATAATTTGGAGTGAGTCCATGGATTTTAATTATTTAAGTGTAATTCATAGCAAAAGAAGTGGAAGGAAAAACAGTTTGATCACGTAATATACCATTAATGCCCCCCTTGATTGGCTGACATATCCATGGAAGTTAGTTTCACCCAGGCAGATCTTTTAATTCAATTATCTATGATAATACAAAAATGTTTTTTTTATTCAATTATCGCTTATAATACAAAAGAGTGCACACTGTTTTTTGGCAATAATATTAACAGTTTTGGAGTATGTACGCTAGATATATATCTTATAACTACTAATTTGCATACATCCTATTATTTTTTGAAAATGGATTATGTTCACATTTTTTAATGAAACATAAATGCAGGTTTGAAAAGTGATTAATATATGTACCAGCACTGTTTAGTTTGAAATTAAAAGAAATGGTTTTATTTGTTTTTTTACAAAATCGGAATTTTTTTTATTATAGGTGCAAAATGTTCCAAATGTACATTAACCAATGGTAAATGTGATTCACATTGTTTGTGGTGGAATTTACGTAGATCCCCTAATGGGGTTAGCTTTTGCTATCTCTCTTGCAATTCAAATGATGCGGTCCTTAGGTTTGTAATCTGCACATAAATTTAGGTTTTGAAACCGTCCAAAGAATTGATAAAGAAGATATCTTTAATGTAATTAATGTAATCAGGTATAAAGTGAACGTCCGTGTTGTTGATGGCACAACACATGCTCTCTTACCGGTCATGCTCTCTTACTGTCGATTGTAAGAGAGCATGGCCGGTAAGTGTTTAATCCCCAAATTTAAACATGTTCGGCAATGCATTAAATATTTTTCAGAGCATTAAATAATTTAAACTCGGGATGAATAATGTAAGATACATACTTAGATTGCAAAATTGCATTTAAATGTAGTTATTTTAAAATATATTTTTTCTTATTTCAACAATTTGAATTGAACTGATCCGCCCATATATCATATTGGTATTTATAAGGGATAATTTTGAAACGATGTTGAACGAAGTTTAATCATTGCAATAATGTAATTATTTGTTAAATCTATGTATGGGCGTTGTATTTTTTAATCCGCAGATGGGTTTGTTTATTAGGCCAAATATTATCTTAGAATAAAAAAATTAAAGGGGGTACAGAAAATAATGAAAACAGTGGTGCCCAGATTTGGAGAGTTTAGTTGTGCGGTAAAAATTTGGACACATCGCACAAAATCTTCCAAATCTGACTCTGGAAATTGTGCTTTTACGTGATTGGTTGGGTTTAAAATGGTCAATAGTGCTCTTGGAGAACGAATGGTGTTGGTTTTGAGTTAGTGGTGATAATGATTGTGTTTCACTGTTTTTTGGGTTAACTTTTTGGTAATGTCATACCAATTGCACTACGTATTAACCCACTATAAATACGACTTGGTTAAAAGCATTTACCATTGTGAAAACATCGATTTTTTCCTCTGCGAAAGTAATTGGCTTCACTTCTTCATTCAGTCCTGCATCAAGATGTGTAGAGTCAAAGGTTAATAACTCCAACTCAGCTTATTGAATTGCTTTTAATTACATAACATAAGATAACATAAGAATCATCAAATACATTTTGCTTAAAATAATGGTGTAATTTTTTTATGTTCAACTGGTCTCCTTTTTTTAAGGTATGAATATATTTTGATGATGAAAACCGCAAGAAATTTGAGTCATTTTTGAGTTCTTTAGGTGGAGGTGTGGTGGCTGGTGGTTTCATCAAACAGTGTGAAATCTGTTATGCACTGGGACATGGTGACGACATGTTTAGCCTTGGGTGTGCATGTAATTTGTGGTACTGTCGTCGGTGCGACGCCTTTTACGGTCTCGGTTTTCTGCGTGAGGGAATCCCTTTCACTATGCTCTCACCTGCGGTTCTTTCGCGTAGATTTGGTGCTCATAATCTCCAATGGTTCGTCGAAGGTGTTGGGGAGTCTTCGGTCGTTAAGAGCACCTGTGTGGGTGACAAGGTTCTCCCACGTCGTTCCGCACGTGCTGTCCGTTTGAATAGGATGTACTTTGGGGGAGACTTTGTTGTTGAATCTGATTTCGGCTGGCTGACTACAGCTTAATGACCTGCTCTATTGGGAATAATATGTGTATTATGCACCTAATGTTTGCCTGCCTGACTACAGCTTAATGACCTGCTCTATTCGGAATAATGGGTTGATCATGCACCTAAAGTTTGCCTGATGTTTCCTACACTTATGTGCAACACCCATGTATTTTGCCCACCCATCTAAAATATGAAATAACACTGTTGTGTGATGCATATGTATTTTGCCCACCCATCTTAAAAATGAAATAATATGATATTTTGCAAATATTTTTTGTCTTTTATAGTATATATTATATTATTTCTCTTTGTGCATACCGTACATCTTTGTGTACTCACGCAACTAAACCTGTTCTTAGGTAAGTGATGCCAGGTTCAAGACTTTAGTTATGGTTAAGATAACTAAATCATGTGTGTTGGGATCCAAAAGATCCAACCCAGGTAAATTCTTACAGCAAATAAAGCATTATAATGTTCAAGTACTAAGTGTTAGGCATTCTTCCTGGCATGCTATTTATACGTGTTAACTTAAAAGTATTTAATTTGGAGTTGTTGTTTCTTTATTTATCTTGGGGAAAAAAATGGTTATGGTTTTCACTGTGTTCTTTAAAGTCGGTTACTGTATGGTGAAATGTTATTGATCGATAGATGGTGCTACCATTTAGGCACCCTTCCTGACCTCTGTTTACCGGCAGTTATAAACTGTGGGTTTAACCGTTGAGGAAAAAATTTAGTTGTTAGTAATTGGTCAAGTAATTTCGCATAGATGCATATTAATAAACAATGACAGATCAGTAATTGATGACAAATGGTTTTACCAAATAACATTTTACCAATTCTTCTTTGACCGTACGCATACTGTCTTCTTCATTTTCTTGATATCTGTTGTGGTACAGAATGAAAGGAGGGTGAACCTTATTGGGATAATGATTCGAAGAGGGAATTACAAAAAAAAATTTGGGTATAGATTTTACCTGTGGTGTTGATAGCCAGCTTCGGTGATGCGTGTTTGCTTTGGTGTTGTTGCTTTGACCCACTGTGTCTTAGACGCTTTGGTGTTGTTGCTTTGACCCATTTCCTCGCATTCCATTTCACATAAAAGATTTGAATTTAGGAGGTAGTGGAGGTTTCAGGTAAGAAATATTAACAGAGGATTGTTTATACGTAATAAGCAGTAGCTGTTCGATTTTGATTCTTAGAAAAATAAGATGTTTATCTCCATTTTATCGTGTCAAAGTGGGTGAACGGTAGTGTGGTTGTAAATTATTAATGATGTTTGTTCTTATCAGCAAAAGTTTTGATCGATTCGAGATATGGTTTGGAGTTACGAGGCATTAAAGTCTGATGGGTGGGGCGGTTAGGTGAGTATAGTTTGGGTATTAAAGGTGAGGTGGTTGTCTTTTACAGATTTGAGTGGGTGGGGGTTCGGTCGGTGAGGGTATTAAATTATATGTGAGTGGGTGGGTTGTTGGCACTTACTGATGTGGGTGGGTGTTTGAATTTTAAAACCTTTAATAATAATAAAGGAGGTGGGGCTTTTGCATTTAATGCTTGGTCGGTAAAGTGGTCAGGGCCAGACTTTCTTTTTGACTCTAGATTCTTCTCCATTTAATTATGGGGTACTACGTAAATCTGAAAATACGATTATTATAAAAAAAAATTCAAAATATATTTTTTTTTTGAAAAAAATTCGGGTTTAGTATGTTGTTATTTATTTGGTAGTAAATAATTTAATGACAGTGGTTTACTAAACAAATAATAGAATTGCCGAAAATAAATTGACTGTGTGTTTATTTTGCAGTGATTTATTTTTTCTGTTGTAAGTGTTATCTTTTGAATATATTTGACTGCAGTATGATTAAAACTTTTAAACACACATGGAAAATCACAGCAGATGATATCTATCAATTGGTTTTTAAAATCTAATGGTATTTTGGTTAGATGTCTTGGATGCGAAGGGGGTGTGTCACTAAATTAACGAAAAAAATCGTTTGGACTGCGTAATAAAAAAAACCTTTTGTTTGAAAACTAAATATTATTTTTCTTATCTGGTGCTGTATAGCCCATTTCTAGCTGTTTTTTAAAAATCGTAGGAAAAAATTGCTTCGAGGAAATAGATAATTTCTGTGGTTTTTAAGTTCTTTTTTTGTGATCAGTGTAGTTTATTCAAAACAGAGTTTTCGAGTCATGGGAACGTGATAAGGGATCTATGACAACTATCTTAAAATGAAAGGTTTTTTTGACAAAATAATCAAATGTTCAGATCTGATGTATTTTTCTTGCGGAATACTCCAAATAGCACTAAAAATACTTTAACCGTTGATGTTTTGCTCACACAAACAAATAAAAAATTAATACTATCAGATCTGAAGGATTTGTGCGTTTTTCGGTAAAAATACGTTTTCGTTATGTTTGTGAGTAGAACAGGTTGTGTAGGTGTGTTGTGTGTGCGTGCATGTGAGGGATCGGGTAGGGGTTCGTGGGTTTGGTGTGGTGGTAGACGACGGGTGTTACCTGAGTTTCCGGGTGTTGACCGCCGAGATCCGTGGCCTTCTTTGCTGCGTTCTTTGCTGCGTTCCGTGGTTTGGGTCGTAGCCACGGTTTTTCGCAACCTGTTTTGGTGGCCGGAGTGTTGTTTGTGAGGTCTGAATCCTTCGCATGTGCGATCTCTTGAAATCTCTGGGGGTCGTTGAAGAGAGAGGGAGGACCGATGACTGTATTGTTGTCGGCGAAGTTTTAGGGCGAATTTGGGGAATGAGGATGTGGCGTATGAATTAAGGCTGGGTTATTTGGGTCTGGATCTTTATTTCGTTTGGCCGGCCCATCCTTTTCCAGCCAATTTCTTTTGGGCCTATTTTATGCGGTTATAGGAATTCAGGAGTTTGTGGTGTTTTTCCAATTTGTTGATATTGACATTTCATTTTAATACTTTAGGATTTTTTACCTGAAAAAATAAATAAAATATAATTATTTAGATAGAGTGTTAGATAAATTCCCCAGACTTCATTTTTGTGTTAAACATTACCAACTTAGAGACCGTTTGGTAGCATGAAAATCGTTGGCTGATTATGCTAAAATTTATGAAGTTCTGGCTGAAGTGGCTGCATTGGCTGATTCTGCTGATTTAAGAAAACAAATTTAAAATATATTTTATTAATAAAATAAATAAAAAATTCTGTGTAAAAATGGCTAAAATGGTGATCTACAGTAACTTCAGCCAATACAGCTAGAAAAGTAACTCCAATCTTTCTTTTTCTACTTATTACACAATTCAGCCCGTGACAACAAAAGTTACGTGTTTGGTGAAAAAGTTGGGCGATAAACTCGATAGGCCGAAAAATATTGTTGACAAACGGCCTCTTAATATAAGAAATAATATTTGGACCATGATTGGGTAACATTAATCAGGCTGTATAAATTTATTTTGCTGATTGCGTAACTAAGACAGATTAATTTTAGTGAAGACATTATTGACATTATAGAGTTTAGTTTCATGACGAATAATTTTATTCATGAATGGTTTGGAGAGTTTGAGAATTTTTTCCTTTTTTAATTATACAATTAGCACCTTTGATATACAAAATATAATTATATTGTAGGTAAAATTCGTGTTACAACATGTCTTTGTTTTAGGTCTGGGGTGCTGAAAAAATATACGGTTTTCGTGTTTTTGTTCATTTTTCTTATTTTTTCCAGTTATTATTGATACGGTTAAATATTTTACTATGTATCATTATATATCATTAATTTCTTAGATATTCTATTGTTTTTCAATTTAGCAATTCTTTCGTTGATTTTGGGGTGTGAATATGGGAAACTTTTCTATTACTTTTTGGGAACACAATTATTCATTTTTTGGAGAACCACTATTTTCTGTTCAATGATTTCGGTTTGTGATTACAAGTTTTAAAATTTTATTTAAAATTCCTCTATTCTTGGAACTATGGTTCTTTTGCTGCCATTTAATTTTGGATCATGTTTAGTTGATATTAATAGGAATTTTATTATTTAAAATATAATTGTTGAAGTAATGTTTTCATAATGTAATATTCCATTAAAGATGAAGGTTTCATTTACAGGCTTAATTTTTGTTTTTTTTCTTTTCTTGGGTGTTCAATTGCGTAGCAATTTCGGATGTCGAGGGAATGGTGCCCCCTGCAAAGCAGCGTCAGCGTAATCCTATGTGCTCAACCTCGGGCGTTGTTATTGGTTCCATTGAATCCAGTAGAGTTTGGAACAGCAAGGACAAATATTTCAATTGTGGTAATGTTGGAAAACAATTGTCAATGCATGCTTACTTTTTTTTAATTTGATCTATTGCTATTTCTTTTTGGTGAGATACTATTCTCACCTCTCTGTGTTACTACTGTTTGAATGGTGATGTTTTTAGGATATATAGGTTCAGAGCCTAGCAGTGTCAATCCTAATGCTTCGAGTTCTGCCGCATTAGTTTTGTCACCTATTTCTGATTTTGATGTAAGTTCGCTCGGTGACAGTGATGTGGATGATGAGTTCGTTGACTATGAGGCGTTGCCTGCTCATACCAGCCGCAGGGCTGTAGGTCGGCATATGCCATGTATTTTCAAATTATAATTTCTCCGTACATAGTTCATTTTCATTGACAGTTGTTATAATTTTTCGTGCATTACAGAATATTCGGACATCGGTGATCCAACATTGGTTTGTGAGTTTTGTGGTGCTTTGTTTTGGTTTGACGAACGTGTTATATCCACATCAACCAAAGATGTTCCAAAATACTCACTTTGTTGTAGTAACAAAAAAGTTGTGCTCCCTTTTATGAAAGAACCGCCTTTGTTGTTGACTAGATTGATTGAGGGTGCAGATGAACGCAGTAAACACTTCTTAGAAAACATACGATCTTACAACAGTATGTTTTCATTTACATCGATGGGGGGGAGGGTGGAGGCAAATGTCAATAGGGGTAGATCTCCTCCCATTTTCAAATTGCATGGCCAAAATTATCATCTGATTGGTAGTTTGTTACCTCCTCCCGGTGCTAGGCCTAAATTTGCACAGTTGTATATATACGACACCGAAAATGAGGTTGAGAATAGGTTTTCATCTGTGAGGTGCGTCACATTTGTCTCTCTTATTCTGATTCCTATTTATGGTTAAATATTAACCCCCCCCCCCCCCCCCCCGACCTGTTAATGCAGTGACGGTCATGATAAGAGGAGGTTGCATGAGGGAATAGTTGTTGGATTAACTCAGATGCTCAACGAACATAACGTTTTGGTCAAGTCCTTTCGACTAGCCAAAGAAATGATTGAAAGAAATGGTGCCACAAATGTGCGGTTGAGGCTTATAGGAAATCGTTGTGGGGATGCCCGAACGTACAATTTGCCTTCGGTGTCAGAGGTGGCTGCTTTGGTCGTCGGTGATTTTGATGAATCACTAGGGGAGAGAGACATATTGGTTCAAACTCAAACTGGAGCGCTTCAGAGGATTAACGAGTTGCATCCGACATATTTTGGCCTTCAGTATCCGTTATTGTTTCCTTACGGAGAGGACGGTTATCGTGAGGATACATTGTTATCCACATCTGATGGTTCTGCTGTTGGCGGCAGGAAAAGAGTTAGTGTAAGGGAGTTTCTTGCATTCCGTCTGCAAGAACGTCATGATAGTCATTCAACTCTTCTCAAGACCAAGAGACTTTTTCAACAGTTCATTGTTGACGGCTATACTATGGTTGAGTCTGCGAGACTAAAATTTGTGAGGACGCATCAGAAACAACTCCGTTGTGAAATGTATAAGGGTCTCAGCGATGCTTTCTTACGGGGTGAAAATGATTCACGCACACAGGGGAGGAGAATTGTATTACCTCCTACTTTCACTGGAGGTGCACGATATATGATACAGAATTATCAGGATGCCATGGCCATATGTAGATGGGCAGGTTATCCAGATCTATTTATTACATTTACCTGTAACCCAAGGTGGCCAGAGATTGATCGTTTTCTCCATTCGAGAGGTTTGAGACCTGAAGATCGGCCTGATATTGTCACTCGAGTTTTCAAGATTAAGTTGGACGATTTGATTCAGGATATGAGGAAAAAAAAATGTTTCGGCGTTGTAAGGGGAGGTAGGGGAGCTAACTTTAATTAATTATTCAGAATTCATAATTTAATAGATAAATACTGACAATTTGTTTTTACTTTTCAGTGGTCTACACGATAGAATTCCAGAAACGGGGATTGCCTCATGCCCATATTTTGTTGTGGCTATCTGCGGAGCATAAGTTGCCATCACCTGATGATATTGATAGGGTGATTTCTGCTGAGATTCCTGATGTTAACCGTGATCCGTTGTACTATGCTGCGGTAGGGGATTTTATGATGCATGGCCCCTGCGGGGGTGCAGTTAGGTCTGCGCCTTGCATGGTTGATGGAAGGTGCACCAAATACTTCCCTAAAAAATGGTGTTCTGAGACATCAGTTGATGACGACGGTTACCCGGTTTATAAACGTGTTCGTAATAATCGTGTGATCCGCAAGAACAATGTGGATTTGGACAATAGGTTTGTTGTCCCCCACAATCGATATTTGTTGATGAAGTATGGTGCACATATGAATGTAGAGTGGTGTAACCAGTCAAGGTCGATAAAATATTTGTTCAAGTACATTAACAAGGGGCGTGATCGAGTTACAGCCGCCTTTTACAAGACTGCGAATGGTGATATGCAACACAATGCTGTTGATGAGATTCAAATGTATTATGATTGTAGATACATTTCTCCCTGCGAAGCTGCCTGGAGGGTCTATGGTTTTGAGATTCAATACAAAAACCCTCCTGTTGAGCGATTGAGCTTTCATTTGCCGAATGAGCAATCAATAGTTTTTAATGATGACCAGCCACTAGACTTGGTTGTTAATACCACGTCTGTTAGGGATAGCATGTTCACTGCATGGATGGAGGCCAATAAAACATATCCCGAGGCCAGATCATTGACGTATTCTGAGTTCCCCCAAAAATTTGTTTGGAACAAAAAAAAGAGGGAATGGACTCCTAGAAAAAAGGCATTCGCTATTGGTAGAATTTATTATGTCCATCCTGGGAGTGGTGAGTCTTATTATCTCAGGTGCCTGTTGAATCACATTCGTGGTGCAATGTGTCACGAAGATCTCCGAACTGTTGCTGGTGTGATATATGTTTCATTTCGTGAGGCGTGTTATGCCTTGGGGTTACTGGATGATGACAAGGAATTCATTGATGCTTTCAAGGAAGCAAGCTTTTTCTCATCAGGCTTTTACATGAGAATTTTATTCGCTATTCTTTTGTGGACGGAGTCAATGTCTAGACCCGAATCTGTATGGCAACATTGCTGGAGGTACATGGCGGATGACATACAACACACACGAAGACGATTGTTGCAACATCCAGGTTAAATACTATATGGACGAATTGTTTTCCTTATTTTAATATACATATACATACATACATACATACATACATACATACATACATACATACATACATACATACATACATACATACATATATATATATATATATATATATATATATATATATATATATATATATATAGAAAAGATCCTGTCCAGACGTCCGGACAGGAGCCGCCGTCCGGCCGGCGGCGTTTGGCCGCCTTCCCGGTGGAATTTTTTGATGAAATTTTTATGGCATGTTCTCCATCAAGTCTAGTTTATCCACAAAAAAATTCAGCCAAAAACTCAATCGGGAAGGTCGTCAAATGATTTTTGCAAGTTAACTGGTCCGGAATATGTATTTTCCGGACCAGTTAACTTGCAAAAATCATTTGACGACCTTCCCGATTGAGTTTTTGGCTGAATTTTTTTGTGGATAAACTAGACTTGATGGAGAACATGCCATAAAAATTTCATCAAAAAATTCCACCGGGAAGGCGGCCAAACGCCGCCGGCCGGACGGCGGCTCCTGTCCGGACGTCTGGACAGGAGCATTCCTCTATATATATATATGCACTATTTACTTTCTCAAATTTTATCATTTATTTACTACATATATTCTATCTATTTTACAGAATTGATTCTTTCTGATGAGCAATTGGAGAAATTAGCTTTGGCTGAATTAGAGAAATTGTTGCGAGGTCGTGGAAAGAGTTTGCGAGATTACCCTCCGATGCCAACGGTTACGATGGATTCACTGCTTTCTTCCAATGACAGAATGATATACGAAGAGTTGAGCTATGACCGGATCGCAATGACTGAGGAACATGCAACATTGGTCGGTTCCCTGACGGATGAGCAAATGTGTGTATATGAAACGATAATGCATTCCGTGGAAGAGGAGGTAGGAGGTGTTTTTTTTGTGTACGGGTATGGTGGGTCTGGAAAAACATTTGTTTGGAAGACGCTTTCTGCCGCCCTTAGGTCTAAGGGTGAGATCGTCCTTAATGTCGCATCGAGTGTGATTGCTTCCCTGCTGCTACCCGGTGGACGTACTGCACATTCTCGATTTGCGATTCCAATTAGTTTGAATGAAGATTCCACCTGTAATATTAAACAAGGGAGTCCTCTTGCTAGACTTATTGTACGGAGCAAACTTATTATTTGGGATGAGGCTCCAATGTTGCACAAATTTTGTTTTGAGGCATTGGATCGCAGCATGAGGGATATAATGCAATTTCACAAACAAAATAGCGTCACTGTGCCTTACGGTGGAAAAACTGTGGTATTCGGGGGTGACTTCCGGCAAGTACTCCCTGTGATACCTAATGGGAGTAGACAAGATGTTGTTAATGCCACCATCAATTCCTCTTATTTGTGGTCTAATTGCACTGTTCTTCGTTTGACCAAAAACATGCGTCTGCAGAATTTGACAAGTGAGGATGAATCATACGATTTGAAGAAGTTCTCGGAGTGGATTGCGAGTATTGGTGATGGCGTTTTGGGTGAAGAAAATGATGGATTTGTGTCGATTGATATTCCAGAGGATCTATTGATTCACACTAATGCTGATCCTATAGCTGCCATTGTGGAAAGCATCTTCCCCGAGTATGTAGCATCCGCAAATGACGTTAGTTGTTTGCGTGACCGTGCAATATTGGCCCCAACACTTGCCGTAGTTGAATCTGTTAATGATTATATGATGGGTCTCAACGTTGGTGAAGTATCCAGGACATATCTTAGTTCAGACAGCGTGTCGAAAGTAGATTCTACTACCGACCTAATGGCAGAACTGCACACGCCCGAGTTCCTAAACAGTATTAAGTTGTCTGGTGTGCCGAATCACAAATTGACATTAAAGGTTGGGACCCCAGTCATGCTTCTCAGAAATATAGATCATTCAATGGGGTTGTGTAACGGCACTCGGTTGATTCTCACCAGGCTTTGCGATCATGTGCTCGAGGGGAAAATTTTGACTGGTCTAAGTTCTGGACAAAAAGTGTTGATTCCTAGATTGTCCTTAACTCCCTCAGATCCCAACTTGCCTTTCAGGTTTCAAAGGCGACAATACCCCATTATGATTTCATATGCAATGACTATAAATAAAAGTCAAGGTCAATCGTTGTCCAGGGTGGGGTTGTTGCTGAAGAAACCAGTTTTTACTCATGGACAGCTGTATGTTGCGGTTTCAAGAGTGACTAACAGGCGTGGTTTGAAAATACTTATATGCAATGAGAGTGGCACGACGACTAATTCCACTCAAAATGTTGTTTACAAAGAAGTTTTCAATAACCTCTGAAGTTGAATAGCTTTGGTTTTAACACTCCGCTTGGGTCTTTTGCATAATTGTTTTGGTTCAGATTGTTATTTAATTCCTTTGTGTAACGTTTCCTTAATCTTCAATTATGTGCTTGCAACGGTGCTATACTCTAAAGCATGATTTTAGTTATTAAAAAAAACCTTTGTGTTGATGGTGTTGAAAACAATTATCACAAAGGTAATATGGGATAGAAATTCACCTACCGTGCAACGCACGGGTGAATTACTAGTTCTTGGTAATGCCAAAATACGGTTAGATGGTTTCAGAAGAGTAGTATTTTACTCCTATTTGGGAGCAGAGTACATTAGTACTCTCTTACTTTTGGATTAACATCGTTTTCACTCAACTTTTGGGAAAATTGGCAAAAGTTTATGATCTTGAGAGTCACTTAATTTGGTGATGTGATTGGGTTATTATAGTTATATAATACTCCCTCCGGTTCACATTCTTCTTTACACTTTCTTTTTTGGGCCGTCCCAGAATCATTTTTACACTTTCTTATTTACCTTATTTGGCAAACAAATCTACACAAAACAGTGCCAAATAGTGCCAAACAGTGCCAAACAGTGTATTCTACGGTAAAGTCAAATTTATTTCCTTAAAATCGTAAAGTCAAACGGTAAAGAAGAATGTGAACAGGAAGGAGTACTACGTAATTTTTTTAGTACGGATTATTTTACCATCAAAAGTCTGTTTGGCATAGCTGATTTTTATTTTATTTTCATATTGGATTATATTAAAACTTGGTTATGATTATATTGGATTATGATAAAAAAAACAGTTTTTGTTTGAGTAAACTTTGCCGAGAAGATCTGGGCGGAGAAAGATAAAGAGGAAGGGAGAAGAAAGGAGGTAGGCCAGAAGAAAAAGGGGGAAGGAAAAGAAAAAAGAAAAGTTAAAAAAGACCCTTGGACTGCCATGTAACCGGTAAACCGGGATTAAGAGGTCAATTTATAAATTGACTGTTTTTATATAGTTCGTGTATTTAATTGAATGTTCATTTAGTTCAAGGGTTTAATTGATTTTTTTTATATACTTCGAGGATGTATTTGACAGTTTTCCCAATATAATTTGATAACTTCAGTTTATATCTTTAATTAATTGGTTTATTTAGATTCTTTTGACATATCAGTTTTCTTTGTTGGTAATTTATGTTTTATTTTGGCTTCACATTAAAAGTATTTTTTACTCGATTGTGATGATGTGTCAAGTGTGTTGATGAAAGCGGCAACAAGTTGACAATAAAGACAGGTGGAAGAAGATGATATTTCGACTTCGTTTGGATGCTGGCAGTTCATTCCAATCCGCCAAAAAAATATAAATGTAAACGCTGCTTGACTTAGCATTTTGGCCCCCAACCCGCCAATAAACAAACAGGGCCTTCATATCTTAGGTTGATTTTTGTTGTTTTGTAATTTGCATTAGATATCCATTTAACATGTTATTTTGTAATTAACTATGGAGTGAGGGGTATGTATTTTCATGATACAATTAATTCTTCTTATTTTAATGTATTTATTTATTTCTTGCTAAGAGTTTGATTCCCGTTATTGATAATTAGATTTATTGATACAATTCTTTTTACAACTGTTTCTTGAGTCAAGTTTTAGGAATTCAAATATCATTTATGTGTATGAGTATACACTTCTAAAAAGCAATAGTACTTGAACTAGATGTGGATCGGAACACTAGGAGCCTTTGGAGGGGTTTTTCTTAGAGACGATAGAATGATTGATCATATTTCTTTTGATTGATGATGAATTGACATAGAAAAAATTGATGGAAAGTAAAGTCATAAATTTTTCTACTTCTATTTTTGTTTTCAATATTTACAAACGTTTCCCTTTTCTAAATAGTCTAATTGCTTTGGACAACAAAGCAACACCATAGATCATGCTATTTTAAAAGTGACAAATCTGCCTGACTTAAACTTCGTGAGATGTGATTACGAGGAAGATTAGAAAAAACTGTAAAAAAAAAGGTCTACAAAGAAGTCTTTGATGTAAAATGTGTTATTAAACTTCTAATATTAGAAAAATGGGTTATTAAAAATTCGTGAGATGTGATTACGAGGAAGATTAGAAAAAACTGTAAAAAAAATTATCTACAAAGAAGTCTTCGATGTAAAACGTGTTATTAAACTTCTAATATTTGTTATTGTTGATCTATTAGTTGTTACCCTCATTCACACGACAAAACGTGATAGATTCATAGTTGGTTAAAGGTGAAATAAGCTGAATTCTTTGACGGAGTTGATGTTTTCAATTTATATTGGATAGAGTAATAAGTGCTTCGTAAAAATTACCCCGACGTACAAACTGGTGATTTGTTGGGTATGTATGAATCATAAAAATTGCATCAATTGGACTAAACACACCTTTACTGTTTTCATAAAATTTTACTTATAGCAATTTCATCGTTTTTTTGTATTGGTGCATTCATTTTGGTGTCTTCCGGTGACATTCATATTTTATGTATGGACAATTCTTTGTGCAATTTTGAGGGTGACAAGTCTATGTAGCGTGAAATTTTGATATGCGTTGATGAGGGAAATTTGAAAAAAAAAAATGCAAAAGTATTGTTCTCAAGGAGAGTTTTAATAATTTGTAAATTGGGTGCTTAAAAAACATCTAATATTTATTACTACTATTAATTTATTAACGGTTACTCTCACTGTCACAGTAAAAAGAATATGATCTATAATTACGTTTATATGTTAATATTTATAAAAAGCGCATTTACATCCCGTGCAACGCACGGGTGGAAATCTAGTATTGTGCAAGTATAAATCTATTGTCAATTACGGAGTATTAATTAGACTTTTGAACTTCCCAGGATGTCTCTTATTGTACGCTGATGTGCATAAATGTGTTGTTTGAATATTGTGAAACGATTAATTAGAACGCTGATGACTTCTTGAGTGTTTTAGGAAAGCATGTGGTTGCAAATGAGCTGTGGTGTCTTTGGGATTTTTTAGGTGTCTTTACTGTTCACGCGTTAAACATAAAATAAATTGGAGCCAAGTGTTACAATTTTTACTATAATTGTTTAGCCAGCTATCTTTGCCCTTTGAGTTCACCGGAATTTTAATATTCAATTTTATTCATTGTCAGGAACGTGTGAACGTGTAGTATATATAGGTCCTCGTTTGTGCTTCTAGGCCAAGAATTTAGTTGGCGTGCTTCATAATTTTATTGTTTGCAGCATGGGAGCAGATTCTCCAAAAAAAAACCTGGGAAGAACAAAAGGGAATTTCCACATCAGTCTTACGGTAATACGGAGTATCAATTGTTATTTTTTTTTTTGGTCTTGCTTGCATGGTTATTCCCAAATCAAGTACTAAGCTCATGTGTTTCATTATATAGAAGATCCATCTACGTGTGGGGTGCTTAGGGATATATGTCCTCAAGCGAACCATTGGCGGGTCTTTAAGGGTATAGTACTGCTAACAAAGTGATGAAAGCAAAATTAGGAGCCTAACCTGAATGCCTATTTCGTGACAATGAGGTACATATGCATGCCTACATGGTATTTGGACGCATATGATAACAAATACTTGTATTTTTTTATTATGCAAAAAATTGTCAATTGTTTTGTGTTAGGGAGAATCATGGTGCTCTTGTGCTCAAAGAAGCACCCCACATCAAGAAGCTTTCAACTGAATTATGATGTACTCAAAGAAGTTGCTCTTGTGCTTTTAAGAATTTTAATGTTACACGCATAAAGAAGGTGAAATAAAATGCAGGTTGCTCCAAATATATGGCAGTATTCAATATATTGCGAGCCAAATATTGTTCAGAATATATATTGCTCCAAATATATGGCTGTAAATAAATTCAAGAAGTTGCTCTTGCTCTTGAAGTTGCTTTGGCAATATATTGTTCAGAAATCGAAAATATCAAATTTTTCTCCCTTTGTCCTTTGTCAATCATGCAGGTTGCTCCAAATATTAGAGGTAGTCTAGACGTCACACCACCAATCCGTCACACAACCAATCCGTGGTTTATTAGAAAGCCTAATTTTTTTTTAACAAAGTAGCCAAAAAAGCTAAATCCGAGACTCATTTCTAATCTCTCATGTTTTCAAAAGCCTCTAGTAACATTTTTATGTGGATTATAATCTATCAGCAGCCTCAATTTCAAAGCAATGTTTTGAGATGAAATTCTACTCCTTTTCTCTCACGAGTTAAATGAAGTACTCCGTATCATATTTCAATTCTATATCTATTTTACAATTGTAAAAATATGATGTAGAGCCCGTTTGGAGAACTCTGTTTTCGGCTTATCAGGCTTATCAGCCAGTTTTTTCACCAAACACGTAACTTTTACTTTCGCGTGCTGAATTGTGTAATAAGCCGAAAAAGTAAGGTTGGAGTTACTTTTCTGGCTGTATTGGCTGAAGTTACTGTAGATGACCATTTTAGCTATTTTTACATATAATTTTTTCTTTAATTTATTAATAAAATATATTTTTAAAATATTTTTTTCTTAAATGAGCAGAATCAGCCAAAACAGCCACTCCAGCCAGAATATCATAAATTTCAGCAGAATCAGCCAAAACAGCCGATTTTGGTGCTACCAAACGGGCTTTTAATATGTTTCTTATATGATCAGTCCTATTAAAAAACATCTAACTACCGAGTATACTACTATACTCCTTAGCTTCTTAATTTTATGGTATTTTGCCCAGGAGAAAGGAATTACTACGTATATTCCTAAGAAAGTAGAAAACCAGAAGAATTAATTTGGGCCTGGGGTTCAAGATGTGCCCTTGATCACGGTGACCTTTTCTGATGCCGGAAAAGGATCTATTGGGAAGCAACACCATAATAACTTTCTCCAATTCCGATTCGCCTACTAGGATATTGGGTCAAGGTCCGGGTCCGGGTTCGGATTCTGTTTCGTCTTCTTCGGCAGAACCAAAAGAGCATAAACCATCTTGTGCTTCTGCAACAGGCTTCTGGGCACCTGCTTTCTCCATCTTCGGCACTCTTTCAGGCGAGCACCCAAAAGGGTTCCCGTGGAAGGGAAATTGGAGCTTGAAGAATGATAGTTATGCTAATGGCTGGACAGCAAGTTTGAGGAGAGCAGTCAGCGGTAGCTCAATGAGGAGATATTTGGGCTTTAACAAAACTGGGATTCCATCTGGGTCCAAGAGTGATATTTGGCTTCTGGGAAGTTGCTATAGAGTAGCTGAGAGTAGTGATCTGTCAATTGATCCGACCCAGAGCGAGGGTTATGCTTCTTTTGTAGAAGATTTCTCGTCGAGAATCTTTATCACGTATCGTAAAGGT